CCTTTGGTGGGCCTGCATGCAGCTAATGCTTATGCAGTAATATACATTATACATAAGTGCATTGTACATACGATTCTATTAAGGTTCTCTTTCAAAAACTTAAAATTTAAACTCTGATTGTGCAAGGGATGATGGATTATTGAACTCTGGCCTACTCTGAGTTTAAGGTTTAAGTTCCGGTCTTACTGTTTGGAAGAACAACCTTAATTGTATCACCCGCATATATTGATAATAGATAGCTTAAGATCTACGACGTCAGCTAGGACGTCAGGGCTAAACAGAGGACTGGGACTACATTAGGACGACATCCTAGTCCCAGTCTTCTGCATAGCCCTGACGTCCTAGCTGACGTCGACGTCGTAGATCTTAAGCTATCTAATATATATATAAAACGTAATTATTTAGAAACATACTCTAATATTCAGTATTGGTAACTTATTACAGGCAATACAGTTGTTGCTGCAGTTGGGATAAAACGAAATGGTCTTTGTATTGTCCAGTCTGATGATGAAGAATTCGTCACGAAAAGAAACTTTAGAAAGCTGATGGATGGCAAGTAAAACAACTATAAGACTGTAGAATTTGTTGATGTAGATAGAGTACTCGACTTTCATGTTTATAACTATTATTTCAAGAATTACACGGTTTCTAAACCAGGCATGCACATGTACATCTTAACTTTTTTTTCTATTATAAAAGGACCTATTGGCTTCTAAGGGGGTCAGAAATTCTGAACCCCATGTCTCAAGATTTATAATTTTTGCATGAGTTTTGTGGAATTCTATGTTGCAGAGTTCAGATTTTCTGACACCTTTTTACAATATTGAGGCCTAAAGCCTTCAGAAATCACTTTAGTATTTTGGCTTCTAAGGGGGTCAGAAATTCTGAACCCCGTGTCTCGAGATTTATCATTTTTGCATGATTTTGCGGAATTCTATGTTACAGGGTTCAGATTTTCTGACAACTTTTTACAATATTGAGGCCTAAAGCCTTCAAAATCACTTTAGTATTTGGCTTGTGAGGGGGTCAGAAATTCTGAACCCCGTGTCTCAAGATTTATCATTTTTGCATGATTTTGCGGAATTCTATGTTACAGAATTCAGATTTTCTGACACCTTTTTACAATATTGAGACCTAAAGCCTTCAGCAATCACTCTAGTATTTTGGCTTGTAAGGGGGTCAGAAATTCTGAACCCCGTGTCTCGAAATTTATCATTTTTCCATGATTTTGCAGAATTCTACGTTGCAGGGTTCAGATTTTCTGAAACCTTTTTACAATATCGGGACCTAAAGCCTTCAGAAATCACTTTAGTATTTGGTTTGTAAGGGGGTCAGAAATTCTGAACCCCGTGTCTCGAAATTTATCATTTTTGCATGATTTTGCAGAATTCTATGTTGCAGAGTTCAGATTTTCTGACACCTTTTTTCAATATTGAAACCTAAAGCCTTCAGAAATCACTTTAGTATTTGGCTTGTAAGGGGGTCAGAAATTCTGAACCCCGTGTCTCGAAATTTATCATTTTTCCATGATTTTGCGGAATTCTACGTTGCAGGGTTCAGATTTTCTGAAACCTTTTTACAATATCGGGACCTAAAGCCTTCAGAAATCACTTTAGTATTTGGTTTGTAAGGGGGTCAGAAATTCTGAACCCCGTGTCTCGAAATTTATCATTTTTGCATGATTTTGCGGAATTCTATGTTGCAGAGTTCAGATTTTCTGACACCTTTTTTCAATATTGAAACTAAAGCCTTCAGAAATCACTTTAGTATTTGGCTTGTAAGGGGTCAGAAATTCTGAACCCCGTGTCTCGAGATTTATCATTTTTGCATGATTTTGCGGAATTCTATGTTGCAGGGATCAGATTTTCTGAATCCCTTTTAAGGATTGTATTTTGTCAGTGAACTTTGATGTGGCAAAATATTTCAACTAAATAGTGTAATTGTGCGAAACGTGTTTACATTTGAAGGTTTTTCGCAAAAATAAGGTTTTTTAGCCAGAAATGCGACTTGTCCGCATAATTACGTTTCTTTTTTAAATTCTGCGGATAAAATGCTACTTTGGAAAATCCCAATTTAGTTTGGAACACGTTATCTATATATATATATATATATATCTATATATCTATCTATCTATCTATCTATCTATCTATCTATCTATCTATCTATCTATCTATCTATATCTATATCTATCTATATCTATCTATCTATCTATATCTATCTATATCTATCTATATCTATCTATATCTATCTATCTCTATCTATCTCTATCTATCTCTATCTATCTCTATCTATCTCTATCTATCTATCTCTATATATATCTCTATATATATCTCTATATATATCTATATATATATATCTATATATATATCTATATATATATCTATATATATATCTATATATATCTATATATATCTATCTATATCTATATCTATATATATATATATATATATATATCTATATATATATATATATATATCTATATATGTAGCGGTTTTTGAGTTGTTTTCAGACGAGTGTATACCAAACCGGGCAAGCAGAAAACTACTTGACCGCGGCTGGGATTCGAACCCGCGACCTTCGTATTTTTAGAACGATGCTCTACCGTCTGAGCTACAAGGTCAAGCAGAGAACGACGTGTTAAGTTATGATGTTAGTCGCATTTCGGAGGTTAGTCCTTCAATGCGTAAAGCCAGCTACTATCTATATATATCTATATATATCTCTATATCTCTCTATATATATATCTATATATATATCTATATATATCTATATATCTCTATATATCTCTATACATATCTCTATATATCTCTATATCTCTATATATATCTATATATATATATATATATATATATATATATATATATATATATATATATATATATATATATATATATACCGGGTGTCCCAAAAAAAAGTACTCCGGTTTGATTCGTAATAACTTCTAAACAAGTAAAGCTTTTAAAGAGAAATAACTTGCATCAAATAGAGGAAGGGCTAACTTAGATTTTGATATATTACAGTTGTATTTCACTTAAAAATTCACGGAGATATTAATGTTTAAAATCGGAAGCATATTTCTGGATATGTCTGAAATATGCAAAAAACGGTGTATCAAATACTAATCAAGATTTTCCCGACTGAAACATGCACTATTACCAGTTAATAAGTGACACTTGACAACTTGTTTATTATGACACAAAGTATTATTATCTATAAAATACAAGCAAGATGTATTCGTCCGAAACCCGCGTGTGTTCCTAGCACGAAAACGTTTCCTTATTTCATGAGACCACTGCATAGCGAAGGATCGCCATGGATCGTTCGTAGTTCTGAATTAGGGCATGCTGTCACAGTGGAATTGTGAAGGTCTTTTAACTTCTGCAACGTTCTGAAATTTTGTTAAGAACACCCAAACTCTTTTGCCTTTTCTTAATCTTGGCAAGTTCAGAATTAACTGAGAATGAAACACAATCAAACCATACAACTCATAAGACATAAGACATAACAACATAAGACATAACAAGCAACTCCCCAGAGACATCCAACATTTTTGGAACAAAACGTAACAAAATAGTAGCGTTGATACTGTGATGTGTATTTGCAAGAAGCAATATTATTTCCTTCATTAAAGAATAATATTCATCCTACTCTAACCAAAAAATGATCAACTCTGTTTTCGGAACCCATGAAAAACATAAAAAAAATTAGGCTATTTAAGAAAAATTTAAGCGCCTGCCTTGCATGGTCTTTCATGAACCTTTAAGTTTGTAAAGACCTATTAAATACTTGCATAATTTCGAACGTTCATATTTCAGGAAACAATGAGCTAAGACTTACATGTAAGATGTCTAAATCTACGCCATATCCCTTACAAACCCTAACGACAATTCGCTGAAATACAAGTTAGCCTGATATGTCATTTATTAAATTAATTTAAGCAAACAAACGCTGGAGTTAATATTTGATATGCCGATTTTCGCTAATTTTAGGCACATCCCAAAATATGCTCCCGATTTTGAACATTAATATCTCCGTGAATTTCTAAGTAAAATGCAACAGTAATATATCAAAATCTAAGTTAGTCCTTCCTCTATTTAATGCAAGTTATTTCTGTTTGATAGCTTTACTTGTTTAGAAGTTATTATAAATCAAACCGGAGTACTTTTTTTTGGGACACCCGGTATATATATCTATATATATATCTATATATCTATATATCTATATATATCTATCTATCTATATCTATCTATATCTATCTATATCTCTATATATCTCTATATATCTCTATATATATCTATATCTCTATATATATCTATAGCTTAAGATTTTGGTTTACGAAACACAAACAGTGCTCAATACCATATAGATAGAGCGTAATATAGTTTTTCGTTTTACCTCAAAAAACCACAACAGTCTGTTTCATCCGTATAGGAATCATCTGATGATTCCTATACGGATGAAACAGACTGTTGTGGTTTTTTGAGGTAAAACGAAAAACTATATATATCTATATATATTACGGGCATTCAATTAATTTATGTGCCAATATATACTATTTAGACCGTATATCAGGGGCGGATCCAGTGGTTTGGTTAACCAGAGTTAATAAAATAAGATGGTTGGGCTAGCCGGACCCCCCCCCCCCAAATATGTTATTGTTCTCTGTAATTGGAATCATGTGACAGAGTTTAGTACATAGGCATGGAATATGCATTGTAATTTAAGCTTGGACATCTTGCTACACCGAAAATCTTAGAGCATATCTCTTTTCACTGCGAATTTTAAAATGCTTTTTTATGCCTACATAATGCTGGGTGCCAAAACTGTGCACTTTTTGGCTGTACAACTAGTTGAAAAAGTGACCTTTTGCTGTTTAAACTACCTTCTCCTGGTCGAGGCGATAACGTGGAAACTGTTACTTTGAAGAATAATACTCGCACAGAATGGCTATGTGTGATCCTCCAAACAAGGGAAGTGATGCCTGACTTAAAGCAGAGAATTGACAAAAACCAGATTTCCCTGTGTGAACGTCATTTTAAAGCAGAATTCATTGTTGATTGTAAGTATTAACATTTGTTTTCTGCAAAATATGGTAATTACACGCATTGTGGTAATTATCTAAGACTCTATTATCATATTTTCTTTGATGTTGTAGTAAAACATTTGCATGCCACATTCAAATAAGCTAGTAAAATGATACTATACGTACTAGATAAAACATGAGCAGCCGATCTTTATCTGATAAACAAACTCGAGCCGAATGCAAGCATTTGTATATCAGATAAAGATCGGATGCGATTGTTTTATTGTGCTTAAAAAACAACCCGAACCAATCGTTCTCAAACCATGGGACTAACTGCTTGCAGCAAAACCGAAATCAGAATTGAACTTCGTGATACGGACTATTCAATTCCAAAGTATGTGATCCATGTAGATTTGTCTCTACATTTTTCACTACATGTTTTCAATTGGCTGCTTCCCAAACAACACACTATTTACACAACTTGTGGGCAATATATAAGCTCAGCTGAACTATCTGAACTTTTACTGAGCATTTCTAGCGAGAGTTTAAAATATGTGAAGGTCTATGCCAAGACGAGTATATTAGCTCCATTGGCAATGATCTGGTTGACAAGACACTTAGCAATTCTGATGTTTATCATCATACTAGCCCAAAGTGCATACGTAAGGAGAGGAACTATGGTGTTCTAGTGGTACTATGTTCTGCATAATGCATGATCTTGTTCATTACGAAGAAGATACCATTGACGACCAAGTGATTTGTGAAACGTGCCATATGTTGCAAAAGAGAATTGTCAAACAGCGAGGTAGGAAAGAGCAGTAAGATAAAGCCTGTGCGAAAGATAAAGCTCCATTGGCAGCTAGCTTGTGGTGCTGAGAAGCTTCAAGCAACTGTAATAGCTCAACGTCTACATTGTAGCAAGTCTCTCGGGAAGGACCTTTTGACCATTATGAATGGACAGAACTTGGAGGCAACACCACATATGCAGTTCTTTTCAGAACAGCAAATGCACCTAATGCGATCAACGAAAATGGGACTGAGATACCATCCCCAGATGATTAGATTTGCTCTATCCATTCAATGCAAATCTCCATCTGCTTACAGAGAGCTAAGAGGCAGTGGAGCCCTTATACTTCCAAGTGAGCGTGTCCTCCGTGATTATAAAAACTGTTTTAAACCTGGACCTGGTATCACGAAAGAGAGCATTAAAGAACTGAAGGAGAAAACACATCAGAATTTTCTGGTATTCAGAAGTAGGTAGCAGTCATCATGGACAAGATGAAAATACAGGAAAATCTTGTGTTTGACAAAACCTCAGGAGAACGGATTGGTTTTATCGACCTTGGTGACCAATTGACCACGTTTGCCAATGTTGACAAGGATGTTCCAGTTGCATCCCATGCATTGGCTTTTTTGGTTAAGGGTTATGTACCAACCTGAACCATGTTGTAACATACTACTTTACTGACAATGTGACATATTTTCAATTGATTGGCTTATTTTGGACAGGATTTGGATATTTGGATTATTTTTCAATTGATGCCATTATTTTGGACAACAACAAAGCTATGGGTGCTTGCAGCAGTCAATGATGGTGTGCATCTCCTAACCGAAAGTTTTTTGCACTGCATTCCAAGCTTGGTGGCAAACTACCTGATGGGTTGGTGTACAAAACACCAAATCTCTTTTGTCTGAGGCAGATGATCTTCTTCGCTGACGTGCCTCATCTAATGAATACTGCCAGGAATTATCTGTATAATTCCAGATATGGATCACAACGTCGGTGTATGTGGAATGATTGCCAGTATTTGTTGTTTAGGTTTGTATTATATACCTTGAATCTTAAAAAATATTTTGTATTAAGGGAACGGGGTCATTATTATGAAAGGAGGTGACGAAATTTTTTCTTCTCAAACTTTTTAAAATTGAAAGCCTCCCTTGAAAGAGCAGATATTCAATGATAACCATACTAGACATTACCAGTAAAGGGGAAATAATAATTTTGTACATGTACACTGAATTAGGAATTCAGAGTGGATGGAGATATTGCAAATAGAGGCCGCCCATGATACTAATTAACTCTATTGTACCAGTTTGTAACTACTGTAGATCCCTAACAAGTCTTATTATTTGAGTAATAAAATTTATCGCATTATATCTAGGCATATGGCTGACATGTTCCACAGTGATCAGGAGTATGCCTTGCACAGATTGTCCAAGCTGACATTGGATCATGTCTTGTTGAGCAGTTTCTCAAAGATGAAAGTGAGATTGGCAGTACAAGTCTTGAGCCAGACGGTTTCAACATGCTTGATTGAAAGTGGTGATCCTAGTGTTGTTGGAATGGCAATGTTCTGCCAGATGGTCAATGATTTTTTCGATTGTTCCAACGTAAGATCTACAACAGAGCATCAAAGGAAAAGGAATGATCGAATGAGACCTTATGAGAGTGTGGATGATAAGCGACTTGTTTGGATGAAGGGTACCTTACTAAAGTACCTGGAAGAGTGGAAGTAAAGTACCCAAACAAGAGAAGGCTCATTTACAGCAACTAAGAGAGAAAATGTTTCTGTTCTGCCAAACATATGAAAGCTTCAGGATCATAGTCAACTTGCATGTTGAAGCAATTAAGTTCCTTCTTTCAGAAGGTTTCAAATATTGTTCTTTCAGAATGTTTCATGCAAGATGTCATTGAGGACTATTTTGGTCATCAAAGGACTGTGCGAGGGAGATTCGTCTGCACAACTGTTTGGCTATAATGACCTGACTATTGGAACAGGCGATATGGAAAGGGAAAATGGGTTGCATTTCTGAAGACCCTATGAAAAAACATAAGAAAAAAATCGACTTATAAATGTGCATACTACCAATTTCTCATTTAAAGAAATGACCATGCAATATGTGACTCAAACTCTAGCTTCCATTGACAAAGCAACAATTTCTGATAATATATTCTAAGATTATTTCAGAATCATTCCCCAGAGATACTACTACTAGACTCCTTTTATGACTAGTAAATTGCCTTAATACAAAGCAGTTTTCTAATCATGAAAAGATACTGGATATATTGTAATTGGTCCAAAAACCCTTACCAGCAGACAATTTCATAAAATAGAGAACAAAACACATTCCGAAAAGTAACATCTTGTAAGATAACACAAATCACAGTGATATTAAGCAGCAATGTGCTTTATTCTTTCACTCTGTCGAACACCAGACAATTTTACTTGTCAAGGGGACAATCTTGCACTTTAATAGGTTAATGACTTTGGAATAAAGTCAAAATATAACTGTGATTTGTGTTATTTTGTTTTTTTAATAACTCGTATATCGTATATATATAGTTTACAAGATGTTACTTTTTGGAGTGTGTTTTGTTCTCTATTGCGATTGGGACTGGATATATTGATATTGGGACTGGAAAAGGGACTGGATATATTGATGGCCTAAAAGAAAAAAGGACATATCTTTTTACACTAACAATCGACTTAAGAGGCTGTCTCCGTAAAAACCTCCAGGTCAATGTGGGGCTCAAAAATAGATTTCTCTCATACTCTAGTATTTTGAAGATCTATCCTTGGGAACAACTAAAATCGATTTCATTTTACTCAAATTTCCTTTAAATTATTTTGGGGGGCGATTGAAGTTCGATCGGCTGGTAACCAACTTGAACTCCGAATGAAGGCAAAATATCGACATATCTTCAGCGCTATTTTTTAGATCAAATTCATACCTAAATTTCAAAATTTTTGCTCAGAAATATAGACTTATCCTTCTATTTTCGTTGTTGATATGTCTTAGATAATTATTCTTTGGTATAAAGTAGAAAACAGCGCAGTTATTGACCCCCCTGAACGGATAACGGATATAGTCTCAAAATATATCAACTTTTTGAAAGCTTATTTCAAAATCGTGGCACTTGATTGGCACATATCTTTAACTTTTCTATAAACTACTAACATTAGTCAACACAAATCGCCAATAATATCTTTCTGCTTTACCATTTGACAAAAATGACAAGCGCGCAAACTTTGTAAAATTTGAAAATGTGTCGAAATTGAGCATACTTTATCAGTAAACCTAATTATTGATATTAACAGATAAAATCACATTACACTACACTGAATGAAGCTTGATTATGTAAATATATGTCTTTCATCATTATTCTTTGGTTTGACACTTGAATCAAATTGTTTGAGTACAGTTTGGCTTCATGGATATAGAGTCACTCAATGCCAGTGTGTCCAGTGTCTTCTGCGCGCCTCAATGTCACGAGTCCTGATTGTGACATACTATACAAACTGCGCTCTTTTCGCTTTGTTTATACCTCTTTAACAAATACCTTTACCTGCATGTTTAACAAATAATAATGTTCAATGAAATTGGAAAACTCAGAATTAGTCATACTACAGACAGAATTTTCATCGTTTTTTTAAAACTGTTTTATAAAATTAAATCTCAGGGAAAGCCCCTGGCCGAAAGAAATGTAACTCGCTGTGGTGTCAAATGTCAATATTTCGTTAGTTTCGCTCAGGATAGTTTTCTAGCAACTCTAGGTTTAGAAACAATTATCAATGGAAACTAGAATTCAAATAAGTCACGGTTCTGTATATAAAATTTTTCAGGCCGACCCATGGCCCTGGGTCATTTTGCTCAAGGCTAAGCTTCGAGAATTTATATTATTTCTTATTGTATAAAAATATGCCAGAATATTTTAATATAATACAAAACAATTCAGCACAAACAGCTGTAACCCATTTGAATGTCTCAGTTATTTAATCAATGTTATTCCTTTTTTGGTAACAATTAGAAAGGTTCTGAAAATTAGAATTAATTATATTCTTCTTTCCGACAGCTTTAAAAGGTAACAAATTTGCAAGTGATAACTAATGTCATTCTTACACGCCAGCAACTTCGAAGAACAGTCTACTGTGTCTCGGAATTTTCCACACTCAGAAGTAGAAAAGGAACATTTCTACATTATTGCTTACCGTCATTCTCATCTGTCAACATAAAATCTACTGTCTGTCGAAATCATTTACGTTTACCTAACGTTGCGTGACCACAAATTGCGGCTGTAGTAGTAGTGAACACCATATGTAATCGCAAATTAGTACAGAAAAGAACAATATTGTAAACACAAAAACCTCGTGCAATACTGTCTAAGACTACTATTTAATGCAATACAAAGAAAGGGAAATCACAGAGCAACGAAACATTTCATCATCTTTGATATTAACTATATATGCTTTGATTGACATGTTTATGCTCAGCGAGTACATTTCTTTCGGCCAGGGGTTTTCCCCGAGATTAATTTGTACATTCTATAAAACGAAATTTTATATAACAGTTTAAGGTAAACCAATGAAAATTATGTCTGTAGTATGCCTAACTCTGAATTTTCTAATTTCTTTGAGACATTTTATTTACAGGAGGTAAACAAAGCGAACAGAGCGAAATTCGTATGTCACAATCAGGACTCATGGCATTGAGGCGCGCAGAATTCGAACACACTGGCATTGAATGACTATCCTTGAAGCCAAACTGTACTCAAACAATTTTTTTCGAGTGCAAAACCAAAGAATAATGATGAAAGACATATATTTACATAATCAGGCTTCATTCAGTGTAGTGTAAGGTGGTTTTATTTGTTAATATCAACAATTAGGTTTACCGATAAAGTATGCTCGATTTCGACACATTTTCAAATTTTACAAAGTTTGCGCGCTTGTCATTTTTGTCAAATGGTATTAGCAGAAAGATATTATTGGCGATTTGTGTTGACTAATGTTAGTAGTTTATAAAAAAGTTAAAGTCATGTGCCAATCAAGTGCCACG